AATATACGATGTACAACACTCTTTTTACAGCTGTAATTGGGGTGGGGGATGGAATTTACTCCACCACAGCAGCAGCAACAGCCAATAGCAATAAAAACACAAGAATGCTTAGCTTTTATAAAATTCTGAGCTGGTGACTTTATTGAGGGAAGTATTTATTCATTATTGTGCCCTAGGAAGAGTAACTCACTCATGATGGATACCCATAAATAAGTAGATATTTCCTTTTAATTTCCTTGAGATTAAAATAATCAATAGCTAGTTATCTATTATTTTAAATCATATTATTTTGGAAGATGTGATACCATTGAAGAGGCTAGTCATATATCAGGTGATTTTTACCATATACTTGCTCTTAGAAAGTTGTATTATAAACAAGACACAAAAAGAGACACCTTATCTAGTCACATTACCTTTATTCTATTGTCACCACCAGTGAAAAGAGGAAGAAAGAGTTGCTGCTTCTGTGATGTGGGGCCTGAGCCAGGCATCTTCTTTCAGCCCTCCCCTGTACCACTTCCAAGCTCCATTGTTTTGTGACAGAATCTGCCCACATTTCTGAAGATGCCTATTCATCCACAAGGTTATCAGGACTGCTGTAATTATGGAAAATATAATTTCAGTCCAAAATGGCATAGCCTAACCATATTAGATTTTAAATTTTAATGGGGGCTGGCCTCCTGTTTGAAGTGTCTGTTCTCTGGGATTCTGGAAAAAGAAGGGGGAGTGAGGAAGAAAATTAGGGGAGAGGGAGAAGAGAGACACAGAGACAGACAATATGAAACTCTAGAACAATTGAAACCATATTTTCTACCATAAGACAAGGTCTGGAGAAACACAGATGCTGGTTTGTTGAAAGAAAATGATGGCAGAGAGGAACTGAGTAGTGAGTTAGAAATGGATTTCTGAGGTTGTTCAAGTTTTTCTTATATTATTCCTGGATACAGACCTATTCCTTTCTTTTTGTTCTAGGAGACATTCTTATGTTCTTAGGATAGAGATTCACATTAGCTTTCTGTCTCACCTATCCAGAATCCTGAGTAATATACTTAAACTACCACTTGGAGGAAATTATACTTAACTTGCAAGACTGTTCTCTTCAGCTGAGTCTATAATTAGTTTAGAAAAACAGCAAGGAGAAATCATAGAAGTTTTGGATTTTGAAGGGATCTTTAGGAGCCAAAGTCTGGAGAGATAAAGTGATTTGGACGGTTACCAACTTCAGTTTGCCAAATAGTCTGGTTCTCAACGCTCTTTACTCTACTGCCTTGCCCAGTTTCTTGTTTCATTTCCCTTTAGTTGGCTAGCTCAGTTTTGGTCTTGTGTCTTTGGCCCACTATTCTTTTTGCTGATTTCCACATATCCCCTCTCCTGGGCCCTGCATTCCACCACCAGCCTCAAATAAATTACTTTCTTCGTTTACCTGTACTCTCAGGTAACAGTTCGCTAATTGATATCTCTGCTTTATTGGAAGGAAGTGATTTTAATGAACTTCTATGAAGGGGATTTCCAAGTCTCAGTAGTTTCATTAGTGTGACCTTAGAACTGTGACAACAGGGCAAGGCAAAACTTGAGCAATATGCTCAACACAATCAGATGTCATTTAAATATTCCTAAGAGTTGTGGACCTACAGATAGAAAGAATGTGAAAGCAATTCAGAATTAGTATGAAGCTGTGCATAGAGTCACTGAGTATCATTCACCCTGTGTAGATGCTGCAAACTGAAGTTAGACAAGAAAATTAGAATCTGAAACTTGAATCCAGGGCATCTGGACAGCAAGCCAATTCCAATTTTAGAGGCATGATGTTAGAATTCTCCAAGGTCTAGATTTGGATTAGCGTTGGCTGAGATGGTATAATCATAAGAAAATGTCCTGGTTGTTACTAGTCCACATCCCATGTTAAAGACTAAATTGTGTCCAACCAAATTCATATTTTGAAGCATGTAGGTTCATATGTTGGACATAGGACCTTTAAGCATGTAGGTTCATGTTCAAGCATGTAGGTTCATATGTTGGACATAGGACCTTTAAACAGAAATTAAGTGAAAATTATGATGGGCCCTAATTCAATCTGACTGATTTTCTGTGCACAGAGACACTGATACATGCATGCATAGAGAAAAAAACCATGAGGACACAGTGAGAAGGTGCAAGACAAGGAGAGAAGCCCCAGAAGAACCCAAACTTGCCAACATCTTGATAGAGTTTCAGCCTCCAGAATGATGAGACATTTCTGTTGTTAAAACCACCCTGTCTGTAGTAATTACTATGTAGCTCAAACTGACTAATGCATCCCATAAGCCAACTCAAATCTCCAATCAGCATTTACTCTTAGTAAGTACAGTTCAGGAGATAAAATTTCACTGGTGGTGATATAAATTTTTTTTAGTGTTTCAAATCTTGGCATTAAATATAGGAATAATCTAAGAATATATTAAGCATTTTAAATATTACAAATGCCTATTTTAAAATAGTTGTGTTTAAGAGAAGCTGGTGGGCTAGGATTTTGGCTCAGTGGCAGAGCTCTTGCCTTGCACATATGAGGTACTGGGTTTGATCCTCAGCACCACATAAAAATAAACAAATAAAATAAAAAAAAGAGAAGCTGGTATATTTATATCAATGCTTATCAATTAGATAGTTAATAGATTCCAATAGATAAGCACTGATATATTATTAGAGTCTATAGAATCTATAGAATATTCTATAGAATTTATAGAATATGGAATCTATGGAAACTATAGACTCTAATAGGTAAGCATTGATATATTATTTAAAATGTGATATTTGAATTCATTCAGACATGATTTTAAGTTGAAATTTTGTAAATTTATAAACCAGAAATCTAGTCAAATCTATAAATAAATACATCATGCTTAAAATAAAAGGAATTAGGGTTCTGAATTTCTAAATTTAATAATTAAAATATTTATTTTATTATAAACAATCTCAGGCTTAGAAGTTGCAATTATAACACAAAGACCTTTTTTCCTTGAGTTGTTTATAAATAATCAGCTGATACGATACCCTTTGACTCTTAGATGCTTTGGAATAATTCCTCTAATCAACAACATTCTGTTTTATAATTACAACATAATCACCAAAATCATACAGTAAACATTTTTGCTTTACTACCATCTAATCTTCAGAAACCATTTGATTTTTACCAGTTTTCCCCAAATGCCCTTTGCAGGATATGGATTCAACTTGGAATTATGTGCTATAATTGTTTGTCATGTGTCTATTCTTTGGTCTGGATGGTCTCGCAGTCTTTCAATTTCATCATTTTGACACTTTTAAAGATTACAGACCAGTTATTTTGTATAATGTCCCTGGATTTGGGTTTGTCTGATTTAATTTGATTACATTCAGAGCCTTATGCAACTTTGCTGTCTTTCTCCTTTGCATGAGAGAAGCCTTGCTAGTCCAACTTAAGATGTGATATTTGACTAATATTGATTCAGTCATAAATCTTATTTGGTAGGGCACAGATTCAGTTTGCCTCATTACTGACAATATTCTTCATCACTTCCTGTAAGTGGTATTTGCTAGCCATTTCTCTTGGTCCCTTTAGAATCAATAAGTGTTTGTGGAGAGGTAAATATCCGCTTCCTCATCATTGTTCTATTTATTCATGTGTATGCATCAGTATGGGTTCTGGATTCCTATTTGATTCTTGCTGTTATTGTTGCTTTGATGCCCACTATCCTTGATTTGGCCAGTGAGAGCTCCTCCAAACTGGGTTCTGTGTCCTTTTAATAAATCTTCCTTATTTGATGAGTACTTCTTTGCTTTCTGGAAAAGTCTGTTCCAGACTCTTGAATTTTCTCTTCCATGAACCTGGAATCAGTTGTTTTCCCAAGGATTCTGCTTATTTTTAATGGAAAATGCTTCTGAGAAACTAAGACACTGATCCTGGGGTGTTGCTGCTGCTGGGCTCTCTCAGTGGGCATGATAGCATGCAGGTGAGGTGTGCACATGCACACACACAATCCATTGTATATATTGAAAATTATGAGATCAAACACATGCAATTGCAATTTAAGCTGTACTCCACTCACCCTGCTTGGGATCTGACATCTTGTGCCATTCTACAGCTTCCCACATGGATATACCCTTCTCACCTCATTTGAATGGACACTGTCTGGGACTCTCCCATTGCCACACACCAAAGAGACTCCCACTTTATTTAGCCCCATCTAATTGCCTCAGGAATAAGTTGTTTAGAAATGAAAGGGAACTGAGTGGGAAGAAGATCCAAATATTAATTTTAAATAAAAAGTGGCCTCTGCATAGTATCTTTTCTTCACGAAAGCTATGTGAAAGGCACATTAGGAAAACATGTTCATTTCCATTGTGATGCAGTCATTTTTCTAAAATCCTCTGGTTTCCTTTAGATTTCATCTCCTCAGCTTCATTGTCCTGGGATTCGTGTTGTCCAGGCACATAAACATATTAAACACTTTCATTCATTTTATGATCATGTCACGAAATATTTCAGATTTTATTTGCTCATTCAGCACTTGCATTAGTGCAGCATTTCCTAGACCGGTCCTCCTACTTGAAATCCCTTATCACTAGCCATTGATTTGGGGAGACAACACTGCCAGCAGTGCCACAGGACATCATTTTGGTCTACTAGATTTGGCAATAATGGGACCTGGAATATTTTTGTTTTGGAAAATTTGAGCTACACAATATGTCACCAATTAATGTATCTTTGAAGTGGCAACAAGATTTTCTTTCATGAACTGTTGCAATCCGCCTCAGTGTTCAAGGGGGAAAAAAAGAAAGAAAAGGAAAAACCCCAAATCACATCAAGAGGCTATCTGTACAATACAAAGACAGGCAAGATGACAGTTTTCTAATTTCTATATTAACTTTTATTATTCTAAGGATCAGGACCAAGAATCATTTATCTGATTCTAATTTGCTTCTGATTACAGGATCAATTTAAATTTACCAAACAATTAGGAAACCACCTAAGAAGTTGGTGCTTAAGTCTTCCTTCTGGAAATGTGGTCGAAAATGATCGCTTGTATGTAGAGATCTGTCTGGATGGGGATTCTAGTGGAGTTGTCACCTGGTTGAGCCTAAAATACACAACAAATTACACTGTTAGTTCAATCAATAAAATAAGTGGTATTAAGTGAATTGTCTGTTTGCTTCAATATTGCAGAAGACAGAACTAAAAAGGCTGTTTCCATGGAGACAGTTCCATGTTTCCTCCCCTGACTCTTTCTCAAGAGCAGTGATGATTCCTATTAGGAGCTTTGTGGCCCAGGGTTGTGACATTACCAAGAATACCTGGATCAGAGCAGTGTCTCAGGCTCACAATGGCCTAGATTCTGTTGAACCCTGTGAGTTATTAACTCTGTAGAAATTCTAGTGATGGGTTTTACAAATATATGATTTCAGGACCATAATTCAAAAACAATGCTATCTTAAACTCCATTTTATCAAATAAAAATCTCTCAAATGTGGAATGGTAGACCTGTCCACGGTGAGTTTCATGAAGAACTGCTTTCTTATCTTAAAAGCCATTTATCTGCTTCTCTCCCCCATTCAAATTGTAATCTACAAAAAAAAAGTTTGGTCTCTTTATCTTTATTTGGCATTGTCAATCATATTTACAATATAATTAGCTCCTAGGGAGCTCCTATGGAAATAACTATTTGGTGATGTGGTATTGATAAAGAGAAGAGAGAAGTGTAGGTGAAACTAATTCTTACAGAGGGAAAAAAATTCTCTAAAAGAGTTGCATGATATGATAATTGGAAAAATACAAGCCATTGAGCCTTTTGTGAATTTAATAATGAAAATATCATGCTACTTGTTGTCTCTTCTATTTTAGAAATAAATGGTAGGAAACTTAGAACTGGAGCTAGAAAGAAACCTTGGTATTGTTTTTCCCACATAATTTTTAATTTCTTATACCAGTTGAAAAATTATATTTTGGAAATTTTGAGCTACACAATGTGTAACTCAAAACAATTAAACAATCATGAAAACTATAGTCATTAAAATGGGTACAACAAAAAGAATGAGTTTCTTGACTCACTCACCCAATCTAATGCTATTCATTGGACCAAATGTATTGCCATGTGGCACTGCTGACAGTGCTGTCTCCCCAAATCAATGGATAGTGACAAGGGATTTCAAGTAGGAGGATGGGCATAGGAAATGCTGCACTAATGCAAGTGCTGAATGAGCAAATAAAATCTGAAATATTTTGTGAAATGATCATAAAATGAATGTAAGTGTTTAATATGTTTATGTGCCTGGACAACATGAATCCCTTGACAATGAGCCTGAGGAGATGATTCATTTCTTGTGTTAATTTATAAGTTTTTAAAAAATTATCATGTCATTATTTCCATACAAGAGATTTCCTCATACTTCTTCAATCTTGAATTTTCAATCTTTATTACAGTTCTTTCACTTGTACAAAACTGATAATAGTAAAAACAATATTATATTCTTGTCTAAGATGCAAATTAATTGTGCCCAGTGAAATGCAATTAACTATTGCCCTTTATAAGGACGTGTTTTGAAACTATTTTACTTCAATTTTCCTTATCCCTTATATGTACATGTTTTCTACTCTTTGAATATTCTCCTTTGAACTGGTTGTAATATCTTCTGGTTCCTTCTATGATTAATTAAATGAATTTTTTAATATGTTCATGTTATATCTGTAGAAGAGTTACAATTATGCTGTTTTTAGAAAAGTCTCTTGTAATTGGAGTGTCTCCTGCTGATGCCTAGTGGGTTCCTCTGATAGCTAAGTATTCCTGTGGTAGGGTAAGGAGGTACCTCACTGGCCTCTTCTATCATGGCATGTCTTTTCTGAACCTCCAGAGGTAAATTTTAAGTAGCAATAGAATGTAAACTTTGCTGATCCTCTATTTCTTTCTATTTTTTTTTCCTGATATTTTTGTGTTTTGATTTTGTCTTTTAAACTTTTATAATTGATAAATTATTCCCCCACTAGTAACAGCAGTGATTCTGAATTTGGTTTTATGGTCTAATTTTTGTAATTTCTGTAAATGGATAATAGAGATTTATTCTCTGTTGGAAGACAGAAAATAAATAATCTAGTTTTTTAGTATTTTATTTTCATTATTTGTATACTTATATATTTTAAACATAAGTTAAAAATGCTGTGCCTATTGAAAAAAAGTATAACTCTTTGACATATGGACTGGTGATTCTGTGTGTTTGTTTTTGACCTGTGGATAATTCTGAGACCTGATGTTATTAGCTGTTTTTGTGTCTCTGTATGTAAAATATTGTAATTTAGGAAGACCTTTATCTTTTGTAGTGTGAATGCACAATATTTTCCAATCTCTGGAGTATAATAAATTTGGTTAAAAAGTTTCTCATAGAAACCCTTTTGTGATTGCCATATAAGAAAGTTCTGATATAAATAATTTATTTTATAAAGCAAATATCCATAAAATTCTTAGGAAATGAGGAAATTAAAATTATAATATTTTAAATGTGCAATACTTCAAAGTTATTCTTAAAGAAACTCAGAATTTTTAAAATTTAAGTTCAATTTTTAATTCAAGACCAAGGTAGTAATTTTGTATTAATAAAAAAAGCTGCCTTCGCTGGTTCATCATTGTTGGGTATAACATAAAATGAGCAACATTTTATTCCACTAGGTTTTATTTTTCTTAAAATTATGCAGGTATGCTCATCACGTCAACTTTACTCACATATAAAATTAAAGATTATGAGAAATGTAAATTTGTATTCAACTAAATCAAATCATTATTCTGACCATTTTATTTTGACTATAATTATGTTTTACCTTTTTAAGTATGTCAGTTTGAATATCCTTCCCAATATCTTTATGTAACATAAAACATTAAACTGATATTACATTGAATTATATAATGAAAACTTATTTGATATTTAGATAATTTCTAACTAAGACTACTGGAAATTTGATACCTATTAGGTATGATTTTGAGTTTATATATATTTTTTCACATGATATGAAAAGTGCTTGTCTTTGGGTTCTGTTAATGAAAATGTCATTTTGTCTATTTAAAAAAGTTATGTGTGTGGATATAGAAAGTTGCAATATAAACTTTGCTAGTCTGCTAAAATGTGTGTGGAAAAATAGTTCTAAATTCTCTACCTCCAGCTTTCTCTGTGAAATGGAAGTTACTTTGGTTAAAAGTCACTATTAGTATGAATAATTGAGGCCATGCTAGGAATAATAGGAATAGATTCATAATATGTGTGTTTTACATCTCAAAGACAATACAGATTCGCCTTATAGTGGCTGTTGCAAAGTAGTGTATAATAGTGGAATGCTAATATACTTTGGTATATAATAGTGGAAGAAGGGATAAGGAGAAAGACAGAAAGAGAAAATGGTTTTTTCCTACCATCTCAGAACCCCTGTAAAATCTTGGGACTTATTGTGGACCCCAAGAAACTTTAAGGTATGTGGGTGACAACTATCAATATACCATATTGATTGAGAAATTTAAGAATATTTACTGACTTATTTGATCATAGAGATGCTGAATTCATTGAACTGTTAACAGAATATCATGTTAAGTATTAATGTAATTTTTTTGTGTGTAGTTATGGTGTCAGTAAGAATTTCTGTGATATGAAAAGGTGAAATGAAGGACAAATTTTGGAAGGACATTTTACTTGACTTGGTGTATAATACTGGAGTCTGAGAAGAAGCTGTTAAGTACTAAAATTTTAGTAAAGTTGGTTCAATTTTATGCCTGGGGTCCTAGGTTCAATTCCCAGGGCTACACACCACAAACAAAATGTTGGCCCAATCTGATGAGCTTGCTTTCTTGGCTTACTGATTTCTTTTCTTTGCCTATTAAAGAAAAGACTTTTAAAAAACTCTCTATGTTATCTATCTAAACAGCAAAGATTTGGTCTTACAAGAATAATTTTTTTGTGCTTTGTAGTTGAATTTTTTTTATATCCTTGATTATTTAAGAGAAAGAAAAATCATAAAAAAAACCAATGAACAAAGATTTCTTAATTATAAAGAGCTCAGGCTCTTTACAAACATATTAACTTCTATGTTTATTTTTAAAATATTTTATTGCTTAAAATGTTTAAATAGCCAGGCACAGGGATGCAAGCCTGTAGTCCCAGAAACTCAGGAAGCTGAGGCAAGATAGGAAGATCATGTTTGAGGTGAGTCTAGACAACTTAGATCCTCAACAACCTAGCAAGAGCCAATCTCAGAATAAAAAATATAAAGCACTGGCAATGTAGCTCAGTTGTAGAGTATCCCTGGGTCAATACCTAGAACAAAACACACACAAAAAGAGTTTAAATATTTAATACAGTATTTCCCTGGCACCCTCGTCTTATATTATTCAAGTTTCCAAATACATTCAGACAAGTTTTTTTTTTTTTTAACCTTCTGATTTCCGCAGTTCCATAATTGGGTCCTAACTATAAAAGAAATTAAACTTTCAGGATGTCTTTTATACTTAAAAGTTCTCAGAGGCCCCTGGTGAAAAAAAGTCACAAAGAATGAGTCTTTCACTTTTGAAAAGAGGTGCTGAAAATACTTAGATTTATTTGTAGAATTCCTCAGGAAGTGGTTTAAAAAAAATTTAAAAAAGAGATGCTGAACTTAACCTACGTAAATCTGTACAGATATAATGCTATTGATATAAATATGTTAGAAGTTTTGTAAGCTTTATGGAAAATCCTTGGAGTTTTGTCATTTCTCTTAGTATCTTATATGATTTTGCTCTCAGGGAAATCATTGCAACTCTTAGGAATAACTCTATCAGGTTTTTCTGTTTATTATAGTTCTAGAGGTGCTTTGTCTGATATTAGATAATAATAGTGCAATGTTATTAGTTATGACTTATTAGTTATTAGTTATGACTTCAGCTGCTTTAAACATACAGATGTTGAGTTTTTTTCTTTTGACTTTCCAAATTTCTTGGTATTCTTGGCATTAATAATTATGGCTCAGGATTATTATAAGTCACATTTCAAGATTTTCTCTTCAATTAAAATTATTTTAATTAAATTAATTTTGAATCAGATATGTAATTCATAGATTTCTTCTAAAATAGAT